CTAATCAGTTCTCTCCTTAAACTATGTGGGTCTCAAGGCTCAAACATTCACGAGATTTGGGGCAAGCACCTTTACCCACTGAAGCATCTCCCCAGCTCAAAATTCAATTTTATTTCTGGAAGTCCACATCCCAGCTTACAAGAGGGAAACACTAAGGCTACTGAGCCAGCCGCCGATTTCACTCATCAGCCATCTTCAGTAGGGCCTGCTCAGTTGATTGCACAACAGGAATCTAGGAATAATTCTAGATTTGTGTCCCTCATCTTTCCCTCTTGTCCTCTTAGATGAGAGCTGGAAGGATGAGAATCCATTAACTATATATGTTATACATATAGCAATGGTCTGGGTATAGGTCTCTGCATTTCGGTACTGGATTGTTATTCATCCCTAAACAGGAAATGACATGTGATACTTGCCAGGCTGCAGTCAAGTGCCCATAGTCCAAAGTCCCTAAGGACAGTGGATCAAACAGTGATGAAGTTTGTTCTTGCTGTTGCAGCTGTCAAAAGGTAGCCATCCGGGGTGTGGGATGCTGCCCTAGGCCTTTGCTCAGCCACATATGCAAACGTAGAATGGATTGAGAGTAGCTGATCTGTTCCCTGTGCTTCCATCTGTATCCCAGCCATAGAGGGGCACCTCCTTTCCTTTAGACGCCAAGCCCAGAAGTGGCACACACATCTTCACATCCCACTGTCTATAATTTGGTCAGAAGTTTCAAGAGAGATGAGACTTGGGAGTTTCTTGTGAGAAAGCTACGCATCTATTCAAACCTGAAGTGCTGTTGTAAGAGGAAAGTGAAAAACAGGAATGGATTTTGGGTGGAAAAAGAGCTCTTTTGCTCACAGGATACTCCATTTATTTGGACAACTTTATTTTTTCGAGTGCTGATTATTCAAAGAAATCACGATGAAAAGCATCCTGTGTTTCAATGACTCCAGCTAATGGATGTTACAGTTCTTGCAGAGGTGCTGCTGGTTGTTTTGAAAGCCATGTTTTCTTCATGGTCCTTCTTGGTGGGGAATTCAGTAATTATGAACCAAGGCAATTAGTTGAAAAGCAGTTGCTGCTGGTCCTTGCATTGCTCCCTCCAGCTCCAGCATGCACAGATCATAGCCAATTACTGGGCTTTGATTATTTCCAGTTCCCCAATCACACAATTCAAAGGTCAGCTGTCCAACTTTGGATTGCCGTGTAAAGTACAAACTCTTAAGTTACTTCTTTGGCCCACAAATTCACTAGGTAAATGATAGTGTTCTTAGTGGTCACTGATCAATCTTGTTACTTTCTGAGCCTGCTCGATATATGTTCAGGGTCCAATGTGTATATCGAATACTGTTTCCTTGCCTCCCAGGGGTAGACCCATTTGACCTTGAGACATGGTGAAGTTCTTCAGAATCGACTTCAGTAATTTCTCTCTCTTTAAAAAATTATTGTGTGTCAGAAGACAACTTACTGGAGTTGGTTCTATTTTTACAATGTCGGTTCCAGGCATCAAACTTGAGTTGCCAGGTTTGCCCAGCATAAGCTGTAACCCACCCCTTTAAGTGAGAATCCATGCTATTGTCTGCTCAATGCAATTACTTCTTCTTCTAGAGATGAATGGTACAGTTTCATCATCCCCTTCCCAAGCCTCAAGCATTAATTATACTTGGAAATTAACATGTCCATCCATCATCCATTTCTCAAGGTGGATGTCTGAACCAAGACAGACAGAGCCTATATCTGTAAGACTTCAGGAACAAATCATTCCTTAAATTATTTGCTTTTAAATCACATGATATCTGGAAGTAAGCAGCATGGTCCAGTGTATGTGCAAAAAGATGTCCTCAGAATGCAGACTCTGTCGAGCTACCTTACCTGCTCTCCAAGGTGTTTGATGGAACTTTCACCATCTCAGTCACAGAATCATTGTGATCATATTGCATCCAGATTACTGTTAAAAAAAAAAGAATTAGAGAGAAGCTGAAGACAAAAGATAAAAGAGAAGGGGCAGGCACTGGGAGTCTGTCTCTTAAACTTTTCTTGGAATATTTGAGTGTTTTTTTTTTTTCTATCTCTGTGAACATCCAAATAAAATGACTTCAAAGAAAGAGCAAGTCAGCCACCTTAAGTTGCATTGCATACTTAATATGCAGCCCAGCCTGGTCTCAAACTTTCCTCTTGCTTCAGCGTCACTTGTGTTGGGTTAACAGATATGTGCTATGCCTGACCTACATATTGATTTAAGGCAATTCTTCACTGATCTCTTAAGATTAAAAAAAAAAAACCTGTAAGAAGATAAAAAATTCAAAGTGTAAATCCTAGGGCAAAATATTAAAATCTCAAAAAAACCTTACTTCGCTGTAATTTCATCCCCCTCACAACCCCACTAGAATGAGTAAGTTGGTCAGAGGCCTGCTAAGGCCATGTTTTGCAATACCTTGTTACTAATTAGCCTGTGTTTCTGTATCTGTTTGAATGCAATGGAACAGAGTGGCTTTGATAAGACTTTGATAAACATGTCTCATGTTTGCCTATCACAGAGACTTAGTAAGCATGGTATAATTTAGGGAAGATGCTTGGAGATTGTGTATGTGTGTGGTGTGTTTATACATATGTGTGTGTGCATGTGTACCTGTGTATTTCTCTGTGTGTATGCCTGGGTATATTGTGTTTCTAGAAGGCAGGTGAACTACCACAGGAATGAAGTGGTTTCTTCAAACTGTCTCTAAACAGGGTAAACTAATACACTAATAAAATTAGTTATTTTTAGCTCAGGAAGGATCAAATTCATAAGGATTCTGAGATGCCTGTGGGGTTTGAAGACTGACAGTTGTATGTCTGTATCTTGTGAGTTTGCATAAGGCTAATCAGAATTTCCTGGCTATTAGGGCCATATAGAAAATAAAATCATATCAACTGCAGAACATCAAACTCACATGTAGGCCAGGACCCCTGCTGCCTAGCTTTTGTTAACAACTTAAATTGTCCCCACAAGCCTTCTGATGAATGAAATTGATTATAGAGCAGATATCTTACTTCTATGTCATACACCAACCAATGGGACTTGGAAGTAATTTGAGCCCCCGGGAAGATGATTTTTTTGTTGTTGTTGTTGCTACTGGTGGTGTCTTTCTTTTTTTTTTTTTTCTTTTCTTTCCTTTTTCCTTTTGAAGATAGAGTCTCACTATATACACCATACTGGCTTCAAACTCACAGAGATCCACCTGCCTCTATATCCCAAGTGCTGGAATTGAAGGCGAGTCCCACTGTGCCTGGCTAGGAAGATGATTTTTTTTCCTCATACAAATCAGGCTATTTAAGGATTCCATTAAGCACTGCATATTAAAATTGAATGTGGGGACTGTGCTGGAAACCGGAGGAAGGGAGGAAAGAGATACCCAAACAGAAAGACTGAAGATGGAGAAGGCTGGAAACTGGTAACAATTTGTTCAGGACCAACTTATTTTGCCGGGCAAGTCTTGTTTGCCTTTTTTTTTTTCTTTGCATTAGCAGAATGGGAGCATAAATGGAGGAGTCTCTTATGGAGGAATTAGTTAGTTTCATTTGTTATCAGCAGGCCCGCCAGACTCATCACAGGCATTCACCGTCCAAGAGATAGTCCTTATCTTTGCTTCTCTTCCAAGTTGGACTCCTGGCAGGGCACACTGCAGCTCAAAGTTAGGGTTTTTCTTTCTCTGAAAGTTTCATCACTTCTCTGTGAAGTCATTGGCCTGCTGCTCTCTGAGCCACCAGGACTGAGGAGGCATGTTGTTCCAGGCAGTTTGCATGAGAAACAGTGAACAGACTGGTTTTAACCACACCTACTGAGTTTCTATTACTACTCTGGCCAGAAAGGAAAGCTTGTGGAAAAATAACCAGTGACCTAGATTATTATTTGCCAGTAGAAGTTAAAATAACCCCGGATAGTAAAAGGGCAAATGAGCCCTTCTGATATTATACAACATGTTGACGTGGACATCTGTGTCTAAGGCACCATATGGCTCGGAGCAAGCTGCTGCCTATTCAATCTGCGAGCTCTTCTGCTCTTATATTTTCAAAGCTTCGGGCTCTGGGGAGAATGGAGAACCGTCAGAGTAAACTGGAGTGTGGATGTTTTCTCTAGGATTTACTCAGGAGCCCACTGCTTACAGTCTTTCCCAGAGCTCTTTGGGTAAGCTTAGCAGATCCACAGCCATGACGAGTCTGCAATCCCTGTTTGATAATTTAAGACAGGGTGTCTTTGTGTCCTATTTCTGCCCGTTTGTCCTCAGCCTTCGGGCTCCACTTTTGGGTGAGTGAGCAGGGCGATCGGAGGTGTACGTGACTAAATGGCCTCCCTTATCGGTCCTAGCACCTCCACAGACCTCCGCCGAGTCCTCCCAGTGGGTCCCACCTCAATGGGCGGGGTGGAGTCTTATCTTCCAGTCCTGGAGCGGTCAGGCGGGTGCTGGCGGCGATAGGACCGGACTACAGTTCCCAGCATCCTCCGCTCCCGCTTGCCTCCCGCTGCCTGCGGCCCACACCCCAAGCGGCTCTCGGTTCCAGTTCCAGCGAGTGCCGGTCGATCTCAGGACCCGGGGGGCCTCCGGAGAGTCTGCAGGACCGGCGCTGCCCAGTCCGGGCGGGACATGGCCTTGCGGCTGGACCGGCTGGGCGTGGGCCCCTGCTGGCGCGCGCTGCGGGGCGAC